AAAAGCATGAAAATCGTCACTTGCACGGTCGTAGAGTTCTTATCAGGGAAATCGGCTGTGCGAATGAGGGCGTAGTGTTGGAGATGGAGTTAACTGGGCACGTGCAGAACTTTGTATCTATATGCAAACCCCTAACTCGTTCCCGTGATGGCATGATCGCGGGTTTTGCCTTTGAGGAAATGTGCCATTACTGATACTCTCGTAACTTTCCGTAAGAATGCCGACTTTCTGGGAGACAGACAAGCCCGAAACTCGAACCCGCTCCTCGTCAGCCGAGTGCACTATTCATTACGCCACCAGGGCCGCCACTACCTTCTCAGCCCAAATTCTTCAGTGGATGAAGAAATCGCCCGGTAAGCGTGGAGTGCGAGTTCGAATCCCGCCCGGAGTCTCACTTTCGCCCATAACTCAGCATTCTTGTGACAACTTTAGGAGGTATGAGGCAGAGGTGCTGCGTTCAGCAGTAGTTATCATAATTAAATCATCTTCGAAAAAATCATAATATTTACCTCGTCCCATTTCGGATCGAAACCTTTATCACAGATGTCCATGATCACTTTTTCTTGAGTAGGTGACTGGATCGATGGCACGTTTTCGCGGTTCTTCTCAGTAGTTGTTCTGAGCGCGGTGGGCGGCGCTGCATCCACATTCCTCACAAAGCCTGTCGTGGCTTCTGAAGATGCTGGTACTGTGGTTACAACAGATGAATCTAGAAGTTCAGGAGATGTTGGTTCGCTCCAAAAAGGAGTTGATGTAGTCGCTGGAGTAGCTATTTTAGCTTTCAGTATTAATGACGGATCCCGCAAAAACTGCGGATTGAGAGCCTCTTCCGGAGGTGGATATTTGTGACCACATGTTGTTCGGCAGCTCTAAAGTATACACATAGTATAGTCTACAGTAGCTTCAGTTGCAAGAATCGCATTCCACACTCGTCGCAGTAGCAGAGCCAGACCCACCTTGCGCCTACTTCACAAATGCACCCCTACCTCTAACATTTTGAAAATGAGCACCAACCAAGAGAGCAGAAGTATAGGAACGGCTCCGCTGCACGACGAGCGTGGAAGTGCTCTCAGTAGTAAGTCCGACAACGTTCACAAATCTAACCAGTATGTTAGTTACATAATCACCTTGACATCGCCGAAAAAGTTCCTCGCTTTTGTTTCACATCCGCCATACCAGAACGATTTACATGCACCACGTACTTTGTTGAAATACCATTTCAGTTCCTAAGAAAGAGAGATGATTTTTCAGCGATTAAGTTAGCTT